GAAAATGAAGCATGAGTTGACAGCTGGAATTGCAGAAAGGTTTATTTCGATTTGAGGCCTTACACTAGGTGATTTTGTGACTTATCAGGCCGCAACTCTAAAAAGACGATGACCAGTCTGGACCCCTTCACCCTGCCTCTTTGCAAAAGAACCAACTTTCTTCCCTAGGTAAGGTAGCTAGAACCCGTCCGCCCTATCTTTTTTTGCTGAACTGTAGTGTCGGTATCCGTACGCAAAGACGGAAAAAGTAGGTCCTTTAGTTTAGGGGACCCATTGCCATCTCACGCGGATCAAACTGCGAGGTGGGGAGACCCTGGCTTCTGAATCGGTTGACGCAGCTTCCACAGGCGGTCTAGACACGCCCCAAATTTTTCTTACGTCCGTCATATCTGCTTGTTCTCGAACAAGGATGGCCAGATCCAAGGTTCCCCAACTGTCTGTTCGTAATTGTTCCCTCCCCTTCCACCCCCCCGGCGCGCCGCCCGCCCGCCCGCCCGCGGATTTGGAGCATGGGGTTTCGGAAACCAGGGCAGCTGCGCCTACGGAACCTGCAAAAGCCTGGGAAGAGAAAGTAACCGTATGGCGTATCGACGAACACTGCCCACAAGCAATGAGCAAGAACGGAATGCCAGAAAAATGCAGCAGAAAAAGCCAAGCCGCTTTTCTTACACCATGAATCCCTTCAACCCCACCGTCATCCAACCAATCAGCACTCAAGCTCGCCATGGTTTCGGTGAGGGCCGCCGCGGTCCCCGTCTGAAAAGGGCACTTAATAGGTGATGGTGGGATGGATGGATGGGATAGAAGGGATGGATGACTGACCGCATAATCCTTGGAAAGCTCGAGTACCTACCTGTTCTCTTTCTCTCCCCCCTCTCCCCCTGACTATTGCTACTTTACCTTGCTTTAGTAAACACACTTGCTTGGAAGAGAGGTCCAAGCCTGACTGACTTCTGGGTTGAAGGGGGTGAAGAAGAAAATGGGAAATCATAAAAAGGCAGCCTGTCCGCCGCCCACCATCATCGTTCCATTTCCAGTCCGGCGCATGCATAGCCTTAGCACTTGAAGCAAATAGAATCTTCTTTGTGATCTTCTACCTTATTATCCAGCTTGTCAACCGATTAGCTGACGACTACCTAATATCAACACCACACCAACCTCAACCTCATCCAATAAAACGACCATCTACATCCTCTAATACCTCACTGCGACCAACCAACTCAGTCCAGAATCCCGCAATCTACGAACCAACCGAGCTCATAACTCTCATCCGTCATTCAAAATGTGCTTCGGAGCAGGAGGCAAGAAGTACTACTACCAAGAGGAGATCGTACCGACCCGGTACCATCACCACCACCACGGCCATCACCACCATGGTCACCACCACCACCACGGCCACTCCCCGCGCGCGAGCTACACGAGCGTGAGGAGGTCGTACGTCGCCAGCAGCCCGCGGGTCAGCTACGTCGAACCCGTCGTCTACGAGAGGACGAGCCGCACCTACCGATGAGTCAGTCACGCACGTCGGCATTGGTATCATGCCCCAGAAAGCTGGCTTGAACAATCCTAAGCATGTGGGAGCGGCACGAAGCGGGGGAGTTTAGACGAGGGAACGGCCCATGGACGTTTCAGAGAGTGGGGGAAAGAAGAACGGGCAATTACATGAGACGGATGGAGGAAAAAAAGAAGGTTTATTCATATGAGCCGCGGAAGAACATTGCGAACAGCGATAGCGAATATGGGAGGCATCGGTCTGATTTCTTAGTTGGAGAGGAGCTGTCCAAAATCAACTACTTTGGACAGGCGCTCGATCGTGTGATCACGATAGTGTGGTATGTTCCCGGCTTCTGGGGATGTGGAGTTTCTGTATGATTAATGGTGTTTTTTTTTTTTTTTGGGACTGGGCGGTAACGATTGCTACGAATATTCACCAGAGTTATGATATCGGCTTGATCAACAAGCTTTTTCGCGCAATGAAGTTTCCCTCATCTTTCTCATCTGAGGATGGAATTTTCCCTTTGTGATTCATAACGAATAGGAAAATGCGCATGACAAACCCATGCGGCTTCCATCGTCTGTGAGCCTCACGCATTGCACAGCCGTGCGTAACAGAACACGGGATGAGCACCTGGAAGTTGCCCGAGTTTGATGGCATTTGATTCATCAGCCTTACGGGCTTAATTAGGTACTAAGTCTGTGGAAGTGTGTGAGCACCTGGTGACAGACGTCCCTCTGTGAAATGTCTGTCACACGATGATGCGATTCGGGGGAAGCCAGTTGGAGGGGAGGGGGGCTGCCCAACAGGGAGCGGAGGGGAGGGGGACGATTTTCCCGAATTGTCGCTTAGGGTCCCCGGACGGGTAATGACATCATTTGCGCGACCCCTCCAACCCTTCGTCATCCTTCGCATCGTCATCACCACACCTCCAGAAGTTTTGAGAGAGAGCTTGTTGTATACTACCGTAGTGGACAGGTGAGCTAGCCGCACAAACCGCCCACCAACCCGAAATTCTCGGCGTGCTTCATAGATACCTACGTCTTAAGGATATCTTTCCTCCCACCACGAGATACCTCAGGTCAGTTACAACGATGGCCTACGCCCAGAATGGTGGGCAGCTGTCGTGGCCTGCCTCGCTCTTCCCGGCCCGAAAAAGACTAGAGCTTGGAGCTACGAGAGCTACCCGGGTTGTTGCCAACGTACTTTCACTCTCTTGAGTTTAGTTTCTTTCCTGTGATGTGGAATGCCACCTGCCAGCAAGCCCAAACTATGACATGAGTGTCTCACTCGGTCCTTTCCTTCATCCCGACTGTGCCGTCGCAAAGGGTTTCCTTCCCCCATTCTGTCCCCCCCAAAGACCCCTTCTTAAAGTCAACGCAGGACCCTTGTCGCATCACATCGCAGCTCTCGCATCTTACACTGCAACTTTCCTCCTGACGAGCAACCTTTTCTGCGCCCTGACCCAATTGTTTGAACCAGACAGGCGCACCTGAATCTTGGCTTCCAAGATCCCGTAGATACCCAGACCCAGCTTCTAATTCGTACACATAACACTCTACCGGAACCAGGTTTATTCCTTCCCACGTCCACATCGCATCCTAGTAGCTCATTCCTCTGAGCTTCGCGATATTACCAGAAGGTACAGCTCGGGTAACAGAGGTACTTTGCTCTGAACTCCAAATAACCGCCATCATGTAAGTGAGATCCGCTTCATACAACATCACCCACCACCATATCAGCCAAAATGCGACGCTGGTTCTCTCTCCAAAACAGCGAGGAGTGCCATGGCATTGCCATAAGCACGAAACCCTTAAGCATCTCCGCCTCGGTGATCTCCATCACGCCTCCTTCTACGTCTATACACAGCCATACCCACCGGGCTCGAACTCGTCGACTGACACGCTCACAGGAACCGATCACTCTCCATCAGATCCAACCACCGCCGCAACGGCTCCCAGAACAACGGCGCCTCCAAGCGCGCTGGCTTCTCCTTCAACTCCCTCCGCGGAAACGTCCAGCCCGAGCTCTCGCGCAAGCTCTACAAGATCATCAAGAGCGAGAACAACCTCATCAACGCCCACGAGACCGCCGGCCGCGAGCGCACCTCCATCGCCACCCAGCTGTCCGAGTGGGGCGAGCAGACCAACGACGCCGCCGTCTCGGACGTTTCGGACAAGGTTGGCGTCATCCTGAGCGAGCTTGGCGAGCAGGAGGAGCAGTATGCTCACTCTCTGGACGACGCCCGGGGTGTTTTGAAGCACATTCGCAACACGGAGAAGAGCGTGCAGCCGAGCCGCGATGGCAAGGATAAGATTGCCGACGAGATTGCCAAGCTCAAGATGAAGGAGCCCCAGAGTGCGAGACTCGTGGTCCTTGAGCAGGAGCTTGTCCGCGCCGAGGCAGAGAACTTGGTTGCCGAAGCCCAGCTGACGAATATCGTACGGAAACCAACCTCTCCAGCCTAGTGCCAATCGTTCGCTAACAAGAAGCACAGACTCGCCAGAAGCTCAAGGAAGCGTACGAAGCCGAGTTTGCGGCTACTATTGAGCGGGCCGAGAAGCAAATCATCCTTGCCAAGCACGGCCGACGGCTTCTTCACCTCCTCGATGACACCCCTGTCGTACCTGGCGACATGCGTCCCACGTATCACCACGCTCAACAGGCGCGACAGATTCTCAACGACGCCGAGGATGACCTGCGCGACTGGCGCCCAGAGCAGGACGATTTCAGCGCTGCACAATCCGATTCCGTGTCTAACACTAGGGGTACCCAGAACGCGGTACACGACGAGGACGCTAAGATTGTAGCCGGCTCGGTTCCTGGGCACCAGGAAGTTTCAGAGAAGGATACCGATAGCATTGTGAGCAATGGAACCAGGCAGACCGAGTCTGTGGCTGCTCACTAGAGCGGTACGGATTTTGTCGTGCGATGCTTTCCAGATTGTATGAAGGATATCAGGACGGACAGGCTGGAGTTGGTTGGAGATGTTTATGCTTGTATGTAATACCATTCTTACGGCCGCGCTTTTATGAAATACAAGATAATTGAACGAATCACTTTTGGTATCGAGGTGTCATCCTGCAGAATGACCATATTTTAGTGTTGTTTTCTTACCATCTCAGTTCATGTCAATCATGTCTCGGCCACAACATTGTGAGAGATCTTGCCAAGCATCTGTTTAGCAAGTCTCCAGAGTCGGGAGAAACATGATCACAAAATTTCTAACGACTTGGTTGGTCAAGGATTTAAACGCTGCTGTATGATAGTTAAGGTGGCAGGTCACCTTAGGCATATGAGGACACATGCAACAGCAGGCAGCCGGCCCCGCTCTGTGCGACGCCCAACACGGTTCCGTTGGAGAGACGCGAGGTTTATAAGTGGCGTGGTCGTCTGTACACCACCACTCGTTCTTTTTAATGCGTCACCTCCAATTTATCATCTTGTTCATAGAAAAGTTTTGTTTCTACGAGGTGTCACTAGAAAGAGAAAAAAATCAAAAACCATGGACTCAGCCACGACGATTGACGTCTCGACGTACGACAACCAACTCCAATGCCCGCTCTTCGGGACCTTACCGGGCGAGATCCGCAACGAGATCTTTGCGCTGGCGCTGGTGCAGTTCTCGGAGGAGGAGGAAGGGTCGGCGTACCCAAAGGACTCGTACTGGTATCGGCCTGGGTTCACGGGGCCTAGAAAGAGTAGTAGTAGTCTGCTGAGGGCGTGTAAGTTGGCGTATGTGGAGGGGCAAAAGGTGTTTTTGAGGGAGCTGGAGTGGGCTTTTTGGTTTGGTATGTTTTTGTTTTTCTTGGTTTGGGTGTTCTTTTACCATTTACCCCTTTCCCCTGTGTGTGGGACTTCTACACGAAGCTCTTTTAGGATTGTTGATCACGGGTGGAGTTTGTCTAGTCATGGCTGACGGAAACTGATCTTTTGTGTTTTTAGACCGCGGCCCAGCAGGAAGAACAATCAACTACGCCTGCGAGAAATTCTTCTCCTCTCTGACGGAGCAACAGGCGCGCGACCTGACAAAGGTGCGCTTCTTTACGCAAATGTACTGGCTCGAGGACGGGCGGAACCTGGCGACGCTCTTTGCGCAGCCGAAATTCCGGCCCGAGGTGTTGACGATCACGGTGCGGTATTCGGATTGGTGGTACTGGGAGAGCGACGAGCCTTTGAGGATGAAGGAGGATTGGTTGCGGGGGTTCCGGGGACCGAGGGGGTTGAGGGAGTTGAGGGTCGAGTATGAGACGCTTGTGGGGAAGAGGGAGGAGATGATGGGGATTGTGGGGAGGAATAAGGGGTGGAAGTTGGTTGTTGGGGGTGGTGTTGGTAGAGACGATAGGAGGGAAGTGGAGAGGAAAGATGGAGAAGATGAGAAGGAGGAGGACGAGGAGGAGGAGGAAGAAGAAGAAGAAGGGTATTTGAGTGCCGAGGGGACGGAGTTGGTGGAGTGGACTTGGACGGGGGCTAGTAAGCTCGGCGGGCAGACGTGGGCTCATCACGGGGAGGGAGAGACGGTTGAGTATGTTGTTGTCATGGATACGTGGAGGTTTGTCGAGGGGAGGGTGAGGGAGGAGGATCGGGCGAAGAGGGTGGAGAGCCAGCCGTTATATTCTGGGTATGTTCATCCGGATGATATGTGGTGGAGTGAGGATGAGGATGAAGATGAAGAGGGTGATGATGATGATGATGATGATGAAGATTTTGTGGATAATGATGAGGAAGAGGAGGAGTAAGAGGAAGAGGATGATGAGGAAGTGTACGATTACGGTCTGGCTGGAGAGAATGGCTCGGGGTCGGTTGGAGGCTCTCAGTTGGATTTGTCTGCCGGACGTGTTTTTCAAGATGTGTGGTTAGGGATGTAAGTAAGACCATATGGCGAACAAGTATCTACAGGGACACAACTCGATCCCTTTTCTTTGGAGACTCTACCATCCTACATGCTAGTGACTGTCAAAGATGTTGAACGGGAAAACAACGTTGTGGGTTGAGCCTTTTACCGCTCGGAAGTCTTTTGAACTGGAGCCAGCTTTCTGTCCTCTTCATCTTCGGTTCTATCAAGCACACGTGTTGTCCCCAAAGATACTTGAATATCTCACAAGTCTTTGGATCATGTTTCCCTAGACTACGGTTGCCTTAATGTGGTTCGAACCGCTCTTGGGAAACGCCCCGAAAAAGTCGGCATCGAAGGCGACATCGCGCTCATACAACGTATCATGCAACGCCAGCTCGAAACCAGCCGACGGAGCAAAGATGCGTCCCAGAGTCAAGTAGATGCCCATGTTGGCCACGTCCATCCCCACGCAACTGCGGGTCCCGCGACCGTAGTTGTTAACGTATTTCCGAAGCCGTTTCCGCTCGCCCGGGTCAAGCCAACGCCCGGGGTCGAATCTGTGCGGGTCTGGGAAGATGTTGGCGTCGAGATAGATGTCGTACGTGGACACGGAGACGGTGACGCCACGGGGGATCACCACGTCCCCGTATTGGATTTCATTTTCCGGGTCGGTTCTGGGTAAGCGGCCGGCAATGGGGTGGTTTAGACGGAATGACTCCTGGACGACTGCGTGCAGATAGTCTAGCTCTTTGAGCTCTTGGTACGTGGGGAGTCTGCCGAGCCTCTTTCCACATTCTGCCAGCTCCTCCCGGAGTTGTGCGAGCTCTTTAGGGTGACTGAGGAGCATGAAGGTTGCAAAGGCGATGGCTTGGCCTTCTGTGTCGATGCCCGCGTTGATGCAGAGCCAGACCTCATTTACCACACGCGTCAACTCCTTTTCATGGGCTGGGAGGTTTGACTCGAGAATATGCTGGACGGTGGATTTAAAGCCGTCGCCGTCGCCCCTACCACCAGTCTTTTCGCGTATAGTCGTGTCATTAGTCGTTGCAGCACGATACTGATCTGTGACGGCCTGATCGATGATCTGGACAGGGACGCCACACACTTCATGTCAGTCACTTGAAGGCTTTACATCTAAGTTGGCGGATGAATACAACACTTACGTTCCGGAACCGCAGAACCCGAATCATACCAGGGCTGACGGGCTCCGCGCGTTTAGCCCAGCGCGCGGGAGCTCGCATCACAGCAAAGAACCAGTGCCCGATGTGACGGCTGATCATGTTCATACGACCCAGGGTCCTTGCAATCTTGAACATGTCATTCTCAAAGTCCTCGACGTCGACGAACCCGAAGTCGTAGCCGAGGTTCGTGGTGCACGTCACATCGATGGCGAGGCATCGGAAAGCATGGCCCACTAGAGATCATGGATAGATCGCACCCGGTCAGTAAAGCCGCCATATGGGAACGGAGGGGATTTTTATTTACAGGTCAACACGGCACCAGTGCCCTTGGTGGCGCGGAATCTCGAGAGTAATCTTTGCACCAGTGCCTCGTATAAGTGTTCGCGAGACATGACCAGAGGGGTGGCGAACACAGGCAGGATAGCCTCGCGGCGCATTCGATGTAGCTCATGAGGGCTGAGTAGAGACGCCGAATGACAAAGGGTCAGGAAAGAAAACTCCAAAGTGATAGGGCGAGAGGACGTCCACAAGGCAGTGCTACACTTACCCAGCTTGCAGGACACTATTCGGCGGGCCATTGGATCGGTAATACCACCACGGCCTGGACGTCTTTCTCGAGATTTTGAAGGCTTCGGTGAACTCTGGATCCCGGATGTGTACTTCCCATGGGTTTATACGCACTATGGGGCCTATATTAAGAGACAGATTAGCATCTTCGAGTTGAACAAGTCTCTCTGGATCACAGGAAGTTCTTCACCACTTACCTGATACATCGTGCATGCGGTTGATCTCAGCCCAGTATCGACCACCTCCATCTTTGAAAAAGTCGTAATAGAACTCGTAGCCGAATGTGAGGGCGGCCAACGTGGGCCCAGGGAAACGAGCAAGAGGGCTGAAGAATAATCTGTAGGCGGCAATAGACACAACATACGCCGCAGCCAGTAATAGACACGCTATGAAGTATAGCATCTTTGCATGCTATTACAAAGTCGCGATGAGAAGGATACAGGATCAGTGCTGGAACAGATATGACAGAAGATGCAGACGTAATCACTCCGTCACTATTAGGAATCGAAACCTCGTTTTGAGGCCTTGAGCTGGGAGCTTGAGGTGCTTCTCCGAGGAAGCCATAATGAGAATCGGGCTTCCAATTTTCCGTCCGTTGCCATCTTTGATGCGACAATAGCCCGGCGTCATATTCTTCACCGCTTAGATAGAACCGTTCCAGCTCTTACTCTGGAATGCCAGAGGTCAGACTTTCTCTTGGCCGGTTCAGACCCATCACGCGTGAGCTGCCGCCGATGCAAGTGCAAAGCTTAGCAATCGCATGCTCTCGAGTGATTGTTCCCGTAAACGTGTTGAAGGGACCAGTCAGTGGAGTATCATCCTTGCAGTATTAACACTCGTCTTTGAAGTATGCGCAGTATACATGTGAGATGTTTGTGTAAAGTACAACTGCCAATTTCTGTAACATGACTCAAGGAATACCTTATCCAGCGCTTACGAATACTGGGGACTTTCATCTATGTTGCATATACGAAGTCCTCCGTACCTCGCCGAAGTCTTCCTCATTATTTCTGCTCGAGATCTGATGAAGGGAAGTGATCTTATCTGAGTCCTAAACCTTAAAAACCTTTGTCAATTGTGATCAACATCAGCTGAAGTTAAATTGCCACCCCACACAAGGTGAAGTAGTTGGTCGGCGAATTTGACAGCATCGCCATGAATGTGGCCGGGGACAAACCGGAATGTAACATGGCCACATAAGCGGATGATGCCGAACGAGATGCAACTTGGCGACTACAAACGGCTTGGGAGGCACGGTCCGACGGGAGCAAGGGACTGTTGCCTTTCTTCATCTAACTGACCTTTGACGTTGACGGGTCCGAAACTCTAAAGAGGACCCCTAAGCCGTTCATCCAATGATAATCTCTCGAATACAGAAACAGGCATCTGCGGACTTAACTGCTTGCTCCGGGCCTCGATGCCGGCCACTCACAAGGCTCTCTTATTGATTCTTGGTCCTTCTGCGATGCATTCTGCACCTGGCATCGCAGAGGGGGGCTCAGCTCGTCTAAGTTTCAGGAGACCTTTGGAATGCTTCACCCCGTAGCGAAGGGCATTCTAGGCTTCTTCACTCTCGGTATGTAAGCAGTAGTTAGTTCCAAGGGAACCAGGGTCCTGAAGGGTAGGGAAGTCAACAACTCCCGACGGAGACTTCGGTGCCGGACTGACCGCTCTTGCGGATTGAACGGTACCGCGAAGAAGCCTCTCCCCCCCCCCCCCCCCCGGTGGTGGGAAATCTCCGTGTAAGCTTTGCTTTGTGGGACAAGCAGAGTCGACCTGCATGAGACGTCTTGTTCGTTGTCAATTCTGGATACCCTACTTCTGATCTCTAACGTAGTAGTAAGTGGACTTTGCATCTTGGTGGTTCTAGCTGCAAGGTTCTGAATGTAGATGACATCCTCTATAACATTTATGTTGGTTCTAGCTTTCGAGAATGTCTGCAATTCGCTTGTCTTATTACACTTCACCCACGTCCAATTTCTCTACGTTGTTACGGTTACCACACTTTTTGACACTTTGGCGAATTCTTTCCTAACCTAGAGCTGCACATCTTAATGGCAAACTCATACTCTGGTTCTAAATCTCCTACCATGGACCCGCCTCTCACTGAACTCGCCGTCAAGCACGGCACGGACAAACATAGAGAAGGCAAGGTGTCCATCACTCGGCAGGGCACCACCATGGAAGTCGGCGGACACCTGTATGCACCGCACTACGACTTCCACTTTGGCCCTTTCCGACACCGCGGGATCAACGTTCTAGAAATTGGCGTGGGCGGGTTCGAAGACCCCAAAGCCGGAGGCGAATCGCTACGCATGTGGAAGGAGTACTTCCCCAAAGCGCAGATTGTGAGCCTCGACTACTACGACAAGACGGCGCTGCAAGAGGACCGCATCCGCATCTATCGTGGGAGCCAGGACGACCCGGCTCTCCTGAAAAGAATGCACGATGAGTGCGGCGGGTTCGACATCATTGTCGACGACGGGAGCCATCGCTGCGACCACGTCATTGCCTCGTTCAAGATTCTGTTCCCGCTATTGCGGAGCGGTGGTATCTATGCCGTGGAGGACCTGGAGACGTCATACTGGAAGGTCACTGGTGGTTCGAGCAATGACATGAATGCGACGACGTCGTCCATGGGGTTCTTTAAGAGTCTCCTCGACGGGTTGAATCACAAGGAGTTTGAAATTCCTGGGTACCAGCCGACGTACTTTGATAAGCATATTGTGTCAATGACCTTTTACCATAACTTGGTTATTATCTATAAGGGCGACAACGACGAAGAAAGCAATGTGATGGTGGACAATCAAATGCCAGAAGCGCTGGCGGCTCTGTACCCAAAATTTGACTGGTTGAACACAACTTAAACAGCTTTCTATTCGAACACCAGACCTCATGCCCCGTAGTAAATCAAATATTACTTTTGGCTCATAATATATTCGCGACTTGAACCTCGTGTCTCATCCAAAGAATAAAGTCGAATTACGTATTGCGTCTTTGTGGTTGGAAAAATGTGCGCTTATGTTTCCCACCTTGTTGTCATTCTTTACTCAGACAACAAAGCGAAGCGAGCTACATGGAAATCATCTGCAGCCCTTCGAGCCTCTAATTCAGTATTTCCTTTCCAACAGAGTCTACTTGACCTTACTCTCTGGTGGAGCTGAGATCTACTCTCAGTCTTGTGATGACTGAAGGAGTAATCATGTCGGTGAGCCCAAGGCGCCGAGCATAGCAGCCAATTTCGGACCATAAATATCCCCGCTCACCTCACATCTAGTCATTTGAAGCCGTTGAGTTCTACAGTATCATCCAGACCTCTAGTACACTACTCATTGCACCATGACTGCCCCGGAATCTCTGCCCACCACCCACAAGGCACTCAAAGTATCTGGGCCTGGACATGTCTACGTGTCTGAAGATGCCTCGGTACCTTCGCCAGACCGATCCGAGCTACTCATCCGCGTGGCGTGTGTCTCGATCAACCAGGTAGACTGCAAGTCTGCCGACCTATCTCCCACACCTGGCGCAACCGGCGGCACTGATTTCTCTGGCGTCGTGGTAGCTCTAGGCAGCGACGTCGACGCGGAGACTTGGCGTGTGGGCGACCGCATCATGGCCGGCATCTTTGGCAACAACCCGCTCCGGCGGGATAACGGTGCGTTTGCCGAGTATGCCGTCGTTCCCGCGCGCCTGGCTTGGAGAATCCCAGCCAGCATGGACCTCGCCACTGCTGCCTCCCTACCTGCCGCCTTGGCTACTGTCGGACTTTCTCTGTTCCAGTACATGAAGATGGCGATGCCAGACAATACAGAAGGCTCTCTGCAGCTAAGCTTGAAGAAGGACTCGGGAGCAGCAGCAGCAGCATCAACTGCCGCAAGCCTGGCATCCTACGTACTGGTCTACGGAGGCGGCACGGCAACAGGGGCTATGGCGATCCAGGTTCTCAAGCTGCTGGGCCTCACCCCCATCACAACGTGCTCGGAATCTTCAGCAGCAAGATCCCTGGAGCTCGGCGCCGCGGCGACCTTTGACTATCGCTCGCCCAGCTGCGGCGCCGACGTCCTGAACTACACGCAGGGCGCTCTCACGCTAGCCCTCGACTGCATCTCGGACTCGGACTCCATGTCGACGTGCTACAAGGCTCTGGGTCCCGCCGGTGGTCGCTACGTGGCCCTGGACCCCTTCCCCCTACGTGGCCACACGCGCCGCAGCGTTGAGCCGGATTGGGTGTGCTGCTATACGCAGTTCGGGCACGATGTTGCCTGGGCCCCGCCGTTCGACCTGGACGCCCGCGTCGACGACCGAGTCTGCGCTGAGTCTTGGTATGTTCTTGCGCAGCGGCTGCTGGATGAGGGTCTCGTTGTGCCGCAGCCGTTGGAGGTGCGTAACGGGGGGTTGGCGGGCGTCGGCGAGGGTATGCAGGAGGTGCGGAGGGGTTTGATCAAGGGCAAAAAGCTTGTGTATGCTGTTGCCGAGATTGCGGTCTAAGATACGATTAGTTGAGCTGAGCGAGTAATTCTACATGTATCCGTAAAGCCCCCCAGGTTGAGGCTGTAGGTGTAAGTGGAGGTCAAGTCGTGGTTACCGAAAGTGGGGCCGAGAGCAGCCCCGCGGGCCCCGCTGAAATGCCGATAGAGCCGGAAGAACTACCGCCTGTGTGCCTGATTTGAAATTCGATGGTGACAATGCATGAGGAATCAAGTCCCGTCGGCATATTGTCAGATAAGTTGGTGATACTGAAGTTTGCCCAGAAAGTTGAATTCCATCATCCAATAGGCATGCCTCGTAGTAAGACATGCTGTTTTTGAGTTTTCGGTTCTAAGTAATCCGTAGTAGGTGTATCACCACGAAAGTTGACAACGTGACATGAGGCACGTAATTTCAAGGGTGTTAAATCCGGAAGGCGTTCAGTAACCTTAGAAGCACAATGGTCACATTTTTCAGTTGTCGAAGAATGTGAAGCGAGAGAACAAACAACTACTTGGGCAGATAAGTTTCGCTGAATCCTTGTCGTCCTAGTGGATTTCTACTCCGTATGCGGGCATAATATAGAGTCAATAAACTACATACGCAACTCGCCTAGTGTGAAAACCTGACAGGTCATTTTTTGCCTGTTTTCTGAATGGACTTTAGAGACTTTCCACCTTCTTCAGCAACTCGCAACTCCACATCATAAGTCGGGACAACTGACGTCCCTCGTCGTTGTGCACCTGAAAACTCCCCGCAACTCTTGACTCGGTCAACACTCTCCTTTCGAATCCGAGCCGAGCTTCCCTCAAAGTCTAAAGATCACTCATCTTGGCCGGGGTAACGCGGGCCAGCAGCTTGGGCTTCGACCAAATGGAGTGCGTCTTGACATGGAGCCAGTCCTCCGTCTCCGGCGTCAGGGCCAGGTCAAAGTC